TTAAACTTGACATAGTTTAGGGACTATGAGGGTTGTAATATGACCCCGCTCCCTTATAGTTGTGGAAATATCCATAGCTGTTGTTATCCTAACCCTAGAACACATGGTGTGCTGGGAGAGGGTGTGGATTCACAGAATCCGAAGCCCTTACCTTGCTTGGCCATAGACGAGAAACTGGAGATGGGTAACAGTTTGAGGGGTGGCATCGTTTATTTCTCTCCTTTTGGCTGTATAGCTCAGTGGTTTAAGTATCTAGCTGTGGGGCGAGAGGTTGGGAGTTTGATTCCCCACTGTGCCTCTTGCAGTAGAGCCAGCCTGTGTGGCATTGGGCAAGCTGCAGTCAAGGGATGCCCCCAGAAAAAGGGGATGTTAACCCACTTATGAGTATTTTCTACCGTTAAAAACCCTGAAAAGGGTTGCCAGAAATCAGAATTGGCTTGATGATGATGTGGACACAAAGTAGGTTATTTTTTGTAACTGTCATAAAAGACCTTTTTAAAATTTTTTATTTAAAGGGAGATACACAATCGCAGGAAGGTAAGTTCAGTTCTAGCTTTTCCCATAGAACAAGTGTCATTTCAAAGGACACTCCTTTGGAGGTCATTCCTTTGCCATAACCTGTTCCTGCTTAGCAAGTGTCACTTATGAGTTGTAGGATGGCTCAGTGGTTTAGGTCTCTGGATTCAAGTTTCTGGTGCAGACTGACAAGGCATTGTAAATGGTGGTAAATGAACTGTGACCTTCCAGAAGTTGCTGAACTGTAACTTTCATTGTCCCTCACCATGGGTTGTTCTGGCAAGGGTTGACAGGAGCTGGAGTCAAGATCATGGAGGACCAAATGTTCGTCACAGGAAAGAGTAAATTCCTCTGTCTCATAATCTCCCATTCTGTCCCCTCTCGGAGGTTCTTTCCAGGCATTCCAGTTGTTCTAAGCTTGACATGACATAAACATACCATGATCCAATCTATCTCCAGATAAGTTAAACCACCTATGATTACAACACATTCTCATTTAGGTGCTGCCATGCTTTATGGCAGCTTCCCATTCTTGGCTTTGTGGGTTTAAGCATTAGTGTATAAACGCTTATGCATTGGTCAGATTCATCCCCACCTCCATAAACTGAGGAAATCACTTCTTCCTCACCTCTCTGCTTTCACTCATCAACAGGTTTTGACAAAAGTATTGCTTTATATTAAACCAGCTCCACAGTATGTCTTAATTGTTGAACTTCAGCATAAATAATATTGGCTCACTACACCATTTTGATAATTGACCTTAAGTCCTCGTTTACCTATAAGAAAGAACTCTGATATAAAGCAAGGCAGGATCTCTGTGCCAGAGTCAAGTGGGCACAGATAGGGAGCAGGAAGGTAAGTTCAGTTCTAGCTTTTCACATAGAACAAGTGTCATTTCAGAGGACACTCCTTTGGAGGTCATTGTATCCTTTGCCATTCCTGCTTAGCAAGTGTCACTTATGAGCTGCAGGATAGCTCAGTGGTTTAGGTCTCTGGGTTCAGAGTTTGATTCCCCACTGCACCTTCTTGACAGGGGCTGGACTCAATGATTCATAGGGTCCCTTCCAGCTCTGCAGTTCTAAGATGATGGTGATGATTTCCAGGACATGACATTTCTGATGACACTGATGCCTACTGTGTTGATCACAACCTCTAGCTCCTCCTCAGTGGTGATGTTGGCCAAGCAAACTAGAAAATGTGGGACTTCCAGAACTTTCACAGGGATTGAGTTAGTCCCTGGAGGGGTGAGTGTGAACTGCATCATCAGCAACACCAGTACTAATCTACTTTTAAAGTCAAAATTGTGGGCAACCAGGCTTCCAAGGAGGACTACCTACATAGTAAGAATATTTTGAATGGCTACTTGTGTCTGTGGAAAATGGGTTTGCTCTAGAATAATTCAATGAGAGAACACAAGCTAAAAGGTTCATGCTTTAAAGCTAAGACAATAGCACAGCTGAGCAAAGATGCTTTGCCTAGTTGCCTGGTAACTTGATAGGCTATTGATGTTCAGCATAAACAATATTGGCTCACTACACCATTTTGATCATTGACCTTAAGTCCTTGTTTACCTATAAGAAAGAACTCTGATATAAAGCAAGCCAGGATCTCTGTACCAGAGTCAAGTGGGCACAGATAGGGAGCAGGAAGGTAAGTTCAGTTCTAGCTTTTCACATAGAACAAGTGTCATTTCAGAGGACACTCCTTTGGAGGTCATTGTATCCTTTGCCATTCCTGCTTAGCAAGTGTCACTTATGAGCTGCAGGATAGCTCAGTGGTTTAGGTCTCTGGGTTCAGAGTTTGTCAGTACACTGTTTCAGCATTTGCACTCATGGAACTCCCAACTGTGGAAGCTGCTGCTGATGTGCACTTTCATATCTGATCATAACTCAGTTGCACCACTGCAGTAACTTCTGCAATAGGGTGTTCATGTGCATAAACACTAGCTTTAAAAAAAAGGTTGTACTGTATTTCGAAATGGAAATGGGTTAGAGGGGACTCAGTTGTGCTCCAGAATTTCATTCACCTCATACTCGAGAAATCCTTGCTCCTTCATCTAGAATTCTGCTTGACCAAATGTAGTTTAGGATGTGACAATGATATTTGTCATCAGTTCTGACTTACAGTGAGTCTTGCCAGGATTTCCTAGATATAAAATACAAGCAGCAGCCACTACATTCTTCCGGCAGTACTCAATGAAACAGCACAAGCTAAAAGGTTCATGCTTTAAAGCTAAGACAATAGCATAGCTGAGCAAAGATGCTTTGCCTACTTGCCTGGTAATTTGATAGGCTATTGATGGTCAGAATAAAATGAAAGATTCCGAAGAGTCCAGTGGTCTTATTCAGCAAATCAAAGTCCTGACCTCTGGTTCCACAGCCAGGTGCTCCAATTTACTGAAATGCCCAGGCAGCTTACTGGGAGCAAAATTCAACTTTATGGGAGTCTGAAGCTTTTTTAAAAAATCAAGTATATGTCCCACCCTTATAGTAGCAAACGAAGGGCAGGGACTGTTTGGCAGAAGCCAGCAAAACCGGAAGGTGGCTTATCACCTCTCCCTCCCTGTTCTCCATCTCACTTATAAAAATCTAGCTCTGGAGGCCAGCAAAATTTTTAAGGAGCCATTTGTTTATGATACAAAAAGCCAGGAAAGGGAAGGACTTCCCAAACATTCTGCCCTGGAACAATATATTAACCTACATATTGAAAACCACAAATATAATGAAATAAAGTTTCCAGGATTTGGGGTAGGGTTTTAGTGCCTGGATTACCGGAGTATTATTTTTTTATAAGCATGAAATATATACAGCCATTACAACACACTTCAAATATGTGGAAACTCGAATATTTAGCGAGTGAAGGTAATCAGCACAAATTCAAAAAAATAACACATCATTGGTATTGCTTAACAAGTTCCAGGTCTGGTGCTTGGCACTATAAATAGGTTTAGCTCCTGGAAGCACTACCTGAGAGCAGACTGCTCTGCCCCTGTTGTTTTCCTACATGGGAAAGGAACAGGACGGAGATACCACTTGACTTATGTCTTGGATGCAGAAATACTGTACCTTTGCCATCAGTGCTTGGCTGCATGTGTATATGGCTTCCTGAGGTTTTATGTACCCCGTGGATACAGCAGCTGATCTAGTCCAACTGGAGGAGCCAGGGAAGCCTACGTACAACACAACCAACACTGCTACAGCTGTGGCCATGCCTCCTGACATCATCCAGTACAGAGCACACCAGTTCAGCTTTTCTGTGTAATCAAACTGCTGTCATCAGGACTTTTAAGATTTTCACACCACAGAAACAAACATGATCAATCACCAGTGCTGGTACTGTTTCAAAGTATAAGAGCTGTGTATGTAAGGTATAAGAGAAACACATTCACCATGTTACCATCCAAGATCTCCAACATATTAAAGTTTAACACTTTGATGCAATATTTGGAAATTCCAGAAAATTTCTGAAAGCTCCTCACCAAAGGAAAGAAAATGGGTACTTTTATAGAATAATGATACAAACAAATGTAATCATTTTGGTCAGGAGAACAAAAAATTCAAAACCCGCAGAAAGGCAATAGTTTAATTAGGACTAGGAACTCCACCAGCATGTGTAAGCTTTTGAGTTCTCCATAATTTTTTAATCAGAGTAGATCATATTTTATATTGAAGAGTTCTTGTGAACTTGAGAGCTTGCATAAATCTGTGAAATTTTGGCTAGTACTAATAAAGCTATTGCCCAGCTGTGATTTTCGCACTTATTTTCCTAAATAAGCCTCGTGGCGCAGTGGTTAAACCGCTGTATTGCAGCTAAAACTGTGCTCACGACCTGGGGTTCAAATCCCAGGTAGCCGGCTCAAGGTTGACTCAGCCTTCTATCCTTCCGAGGTCGGTAAAATGAGTACCCAGCTCGCTGGGGGGGCAATGTGTAGCCTGCATAATTAAATTGTAAACCGCCCAGAGAGTGCTTGAAGTGCTATGGGGTGGTATATAAGCAGCACACTTTGCTTTTTTGCTTTAAAGATCAGAGGTAACAAGTTAAAAAAGAAACAGAAGGTAGAAGTAAATGGACAGATTGCGTAACAAAAGGAAGAGGTGGTGACCTTCAAAAGATCTGTTATTAGGACATGCTAAACATCACAAATGGTCACAAATCTGGGTTGAGCAATGCGGTTGCTGAATCTGCAGATGACACTAATTCAGGGCTCTCCAAGGGGGAAAAATCGTTCCAATTCTCCATTTGCTTCTATTTTTAAGAGTTTCCATTTTCCTGTGTAACTGATTTTTGTACTGATTTCAAAGGGAAGCCCAGACAGTAGACTGCTGCCTGTGTTTGGAGACTTCCCAGTAAGATAATGATGTTTCCAAACCTTTCAGTATGACAATCGAAGCAGCATAAAAAAAAGATAAGATTCCATCTGCCCGAGGACCTCCTCTATTAGATGTCTTAGCACTCTTCCATGTAACATTCTGGACAAAAAGCACTCCATTTCCCCCAAACTTTTATTTAAAAGCCCTAAACAAAGTTTGACAAAAGTTTCCAACTGAAATTACTTCATGAGCTGAAACCGAAGGCGTGCCATCAGATCGGCCACTCCCCACCCCACCCCCCGCAATCAATCCTCTGTTTGACTAAAACCAGAACGGACAACAGGGGATGCGTTTAGCCCATTATGGGAACCCCCTTTGTCTGAAAACCACAAAATGGCCTTCAGTTTAGAGAGAAGACTGCCCCTTTAATCTGGGGATGCGCTATTCTTTTCCCCAGCCAGGAACATTTTTTTTCTGTACCACCCTCAACATGCAGGATACAGAAATAAAGGCAAGTTCTGGATTTCAACCAGTAGACAATGGTCTGTATTGGGCAAGAAACAAAAAAATGAAATTAATGCAGCCATCCCAAGAGCATCAAGGGAAACCGTCATCATCATCCTCTGCCATTTCCTTGGCGAATTCTAGGTCCTGCTGTTCACGCTCCCGCCGCTCCTGCAAAGCAAAGGCAACAGAACAGAACAATTAAGTGGCAAAACATAACTATTGTGGGTGAATACTTCTGCTAAGTGAACAAGAGGTCCTTCAGCTTGGCCGCCTGAGTCCTATCCCTTCACTCTATCCATTATGCCACAATAGGCATTGCCAGGATTTTCCTTATGCGAGCATAATTGGAGAATAGGATTCTGGCTATTGGTGGTAAGGAGGAGATGGACAGGAATGCTGGCCTGTGATGTTTTTACAGATCACATGTGGAGGACTTGTGAGAAGTGCAGCCAGGTCTAATTATGCACCCTAACCCAAATAGCTTCCTGAAGAGCTGCCACTCTTCTGGCACTCCCTGGCTATGAGTTGGAAGAGGCCTATAAGGCCATTGAGTACAACCTTTGACTCAATACAGGACACCAATGCAGGAATGCACTCACCTCTGCAGACTCTAGATCCTTGTTGTAAGACTTTGGAGGGAACCTCATAGCCTGAAAATGGAGAAGAAATTAGAGGAGGCACACAACTATGACTGGAGGCAAGCCTCAGAGTAAGAAGCCTAGCCAGGGAGTCCTTCGTCTCTGACTTGAGATTTCTGACCAAAATCATTCCTTAGTTTATTATGTCTTCGGCAGAGGTCTGATATGATACTTTTGACTAAAATTCTCAGAATCCTCTAGCCAACATGGTTACTGCGCATGTTTGCTGTAGCAGATTCTAAGAGCTTGTTTATACTCTGCAATACTCCTACTTCGCATTGCCTTTAGCATGCTTGAAATTGATTTAAAAATAACTGTCAACATGATTTACTATGAATTGTTTTGACATGTAGGAATGCCTGTGTCAGACTCAATTGTGTCTGTGGGGTTTGTCAAGAATAGGATTGAAGGATCATGGATTTTGAACTGCAGGATACCCTTATTTATTCCCTCCCCCCAATTTCTGTTATAGTGCTGTATAAGTTAGGCTGCCAGCTGGCTTGCTGGTGGTCTATCTTCTTGTACCTTGCCCTTTCCTTAGTACACTGCAGTACAGAGACCTGCAGTCTTGTGTCATGGCAGCACAGATGTGAGATGGCAGTGCTTGCCCCAATGCCAAAATCAACTAGTTACAGCTACGCTAGCTTGCCATCCGAGTGAAAGAGAGTTCAGCCTGTCAAGCCAGCTCTCTTGGCTTATAGCAGATGAAGGGTCAAGAATGAGGCGGGAAAGCAAGTCAGTGGGCCAACCTGGGGCATAAATAATATCAGGAAACTTTTCCTCAGTTGCTAGAGGCTGACGCCCAGGCAGTTGCTATTCTGAGCGGTGCTTCCCTCTCATACTGGGCATATGTGTCTCACACAAAGTACAAGCTGCAGGGCTGCCTCAAGGCTGCTGCTGCTCCCTCCCCAACTCCCTGGTGAGGCAATCCTGCAACCTGTCCAGTCTTTTTATTTTTATTTTTTGGAGAGGGAGTTTACTAGTGGAATGAAAGTTGTGAAAGTTGTCCCAAAAAACACATACACCGACATAAAAGCTACACAACTTTACATTGATTTCAAACACTCCCGATCCAATTCCCAGTTCATGTCAACAGTGTAGCTGAGCCCTGAGAACTGCAATCTAAAAAAGTATCATTTAAAAAAACGTGTCTTTAGTGTCAAGGATCAACTCCTTAAATTTAACATCCCAGGATGCTTTTCTGTATCCACCTAGATTTAAACATTCTGTTCCCAACATTGGGACACATTGGGCTAGTATTTATATAGTGCTTCACAATGCACAAAATACTTCACACATCTCAGCAATTCTTCTGATGCTGACTGACTTTGTTACACTGATGTTGCAAATAGAGTGATGATTGCCAGAGAAATTGTCATGAAATTCACATTGGCTTCAAGATTCAAACCCAGGACTATTAGATTTGTGGTTTGGGTTATATACTACACAAACCTTCCCCTTTGGACCGCCCGCCCACCAGATTACCTGAAGCAAGATTACCTGAAGCAAGGAATTACTAATGCCAGTTTAACTGTGTAGAAAATGACAAAGGAACATGGGAAATGTGGCACTGGCCTTTCTGGTTTGATCATATTTCACAAGGTACCAGTGTGTTGACGTGAAAGGCTGGAAGTTGAAAAGACTTCAAAATACAGGAATGAAGTTCCCCTTGTTTCTATTTTCTGCAAACACTAGATGTGCCCAGAATTGCCCTGTGGATACCAATGCACAAACTCGCTCATTTACCTTGACAGACATGTTGTGAATGTCGAGGCAGAAGGAGATACGTTGGTGGAAGGCCAATTGGGGTTCCCGTGTGGAGTAGATGTCAGTCATCTCCTTAGACTGGATGTAACCTTTCTCATGGTTAATGCTAGCCTCAATCACACCATCCCGGATGGCCTGGAAACCACAGACAAGCACATAGTCATATGTCTTTGAATGACAACATCCACAAGAACAAACCAAGGTAGCATTGTTAGTTGACTGGGGGGCTTAATTTCTGCAGAGAGGTTGTCTGGATCAGGCCTTTCTAAAAGTCATGCACACTGCAAGGTCTGAGCTACTGTCATGCTTTGAACCACTCCCTGTGTTATATGGTCAGGCCTCAAAAAATACCGAAAAACAAATCCCATAATAGACTCTGAATCCTATGCATTGCAGAGTGGGGGAACTCTTTATCCCCAAGCTGGCACTGGAGTATGTTCAAGGAGGTCTGACCAACTTCCATACAGGAAGTTCTGAACGAAAAGGGTAGAATGAGTCACACATGTGATGGAACAAGGCTGAGATCTTAACCTGACATCACTGTATCACTAAGAGTAATTTAAAAAGGCCACTGAATTTCCTGCTTATGCAATTAGAATCTGAATATAATGTATGAGGTATATCAATGCTTGAAGTGTGGTGTGAGCTGGATTACGGTGGCTCAAATCCTGATTGCTCTTATAAGGCAGCTCTTATAAAAAACAGGTGGTAGCATCTCTAAGAGCTTGAGAGATAAGGACCATTTGTTTAAGACCAGAGGATCACAGAGATTTACTAGCCTGGCATACTGAGAAAGTGCACACATTTGCAGTCACATTTAGGCCAGCTTTGCACCTACTCACCTTGGCAACAATGAATTCAGCATCTTCTGGGCTGTCCAGCTGCAACTTCTGGGCTATGTCAGCCAAGGAGATCCGTGAGTACGAAAGGCTGATCATGCGAACACCTGCACAACAGATAAAAAGATAGCCCAAAGAAAGCACAAAGGGACATCAGATGCTTGAAATTTTTATTTTATTTACTTTATATGTTTATTTGTGGATTTGAATTTGGTTTATGTGGGTTGATTATTCATTGTTGCAAAGCACTTAGAGAAGTGCTCAGCATGAAGTCAAGCAGTCTATACATGTCTGAAATAAAACAAAACAAAACAAATAAATGTTTAATTTTTTGGACTTTGTTCAAAGGGAACATTTACTATATGTTCCCTTTACTAAAAGCAGGGACTTGCTTGCTATCCCTAGCCCTCACAGAAAAGTAGCAGAAGAAAGAAGGGGCAGCAAAGGGACACACTTTTTGGAAATTCAAAAAAAGTAGCTGCATTGGAATTTTAAACATAGTTTCAAAAACAGATCACTCTGCTTGCCACAGGGTGAAATCATCACAATTCTGAGGAAAAAGAGTTTCTCACCTGTCTTAATCACATTGTGTCTCAAGCGGATTATGAGGGTATAGGTTCCATCTGCTTGGAACTTATCGCCAAACTGATCAAGCACCTGGTTGAACTTGGCCAGGTTCCCTGTCCGAACAGCTATGGGGAAAAAGAGGGAGGTAAGGGAAGACAGAGATAAAGAGGGGTGTGCACTGTGGTTTGGGCTCACACAGCAATATAATTGCTACTCAGGAATTTTCACTGCATCTTAGGTGCTGCAATACATTCTCCTCCCTGCTGGTGCTTCAGATTAGCATGTATCTGCCACAGCTATGATCTTTATGACAGAGAAGATGCATAATCATACAGCCTGCATCACAGGCAAGAAACAAGATCCTACTGAAGACATGCAGTGACTCTGGCATGAAAATACACCTTGATCTTTCTTATGTTATGATACAATTTCTCATCTACTCTTCTATCTACCTACTTAATGTTGGACTTGAAATGCACACATCCTACACGTCAGTGGTGTTGTTTAATCACTACAGCCATGAAAAACATTTAAGACTTAAGATGTTATTGCTATAGTGGATGTAAAAACAATCTTCCCGGCAAAATTATGCTGTTTCCTTGTTGGACTTGCATGTACAGTGGTGCCCCGCTTGACGACAAAATAGCTTGAAGATGAGTTAGCGATCGCAAAACAACGGATCAAATGGGGGTGTTGTGTTTTTTTGCATTACGTTGATTAGGAGCCTGCTTTGCGAACCTTTTGTTCCCTAAACGATGATTTTTCCGGCTCCGCAAAATGGCTTCCCTCCCTTCGCAAAATGGCTGCTTTCTGGAGCCCTGCTTCTGAAGACAGCGATTTTAAACAGCTGATTGACTGTTCTCTATGGGCGATCTTTGCTGGACGATGAGGTATTTCCCCACTGGAACGCATTAACCAGTTTTCAATGCATTCCAATGAGTTTTTCCCCCCTGCTTGACAATGATTTTGCTTAACAGCGATTTTCCTGGAACTGATTGTCGTCAAGCGGGGCACCACTGTAGTGTTATGTAGTAAATCCAATCCTTCAAACCCCAAATGTATCATGCAGCAGATGTTGTAAGTGAAATGAAATCTCTGACTTTTCATATAAGCACATTCATTAGAGTGGGGACCCCACAGCAGGCCTTGAGATAACCCACATTTTGGTTACAAATAAACAAAATGTGGGCAAGCCTGTTTCATGAAGCTTTCTCTCCAGCTTTGTTTTTTGTCTTACTGGAATCACCTAATCAACAGGTTCTGGCAATTTTAGGGAGAGTTTTTTCAGCTTAATTTGTGAAACTTCTGAAAAGGTTTTTTTTTTCATGCTTTAGCATAACCCTGTATTTTGGAAGGGGTATAATACTGATGTTAAGCAATGCTTGAAAATAAGCCAACATAAAAACATGTAACATGTTCCAATATTTCCTATTTTAAGCATACTTTGATAGAAACAAAGTGTTAAGAATCCAAAATATATTTTGATTTCATATACAAAATTTATAAACTACAATATGAGTATGTTTCAAATCAATTACTGACTGTGATAAGAATAGTACTGACTATAATAGAAAGGAATAATCTTTCAGGTGGGCTGCACTGGAAATGAATATTCAAAAATGTATTTGAACAATCACATTAGTAAAGACTACTTAAGATTTGGTTTGGATTCTTCTCTTGCAATTTCACTGTTTATTGTTTCTATTAGACCATTTAATAGAGCCTGAGCCATACTACTTACCCTGTGTTAAGAGAAAATAGGGCATAAGGGATCTCTTCAGAGATGGCTGCCGAAACTGCAGCCTATCCGGAATCTCACCTAGTAGCAGCTCCACCACAATCAGTAGCTTGTGGACCTAAAAAAGAGATACAAACCACAGAACCATTTACCCTATTGCTAACCACCATGTACCAACCATTACAAACTATGGCAGAGTTCCATCCATATGACAGATCCAATTCTCTTTTCATCTTTAGTCCTACAGCGCCACCTGGAGGAGCCCGCCCCCACTCACCGTCTGTTTGAAGCCAACAGCTGTGTGCTGTGGTGCTTTTCGCAGAGCATTTGTCATGGTCCTCCGAGCTTCAGAATACTCCAGCTGTATGGCCTTGATGCGGCCTGGGAAAGGAAGAGCAGCTCAGCACCAGGAATGGTCATACTGAGTGTGCCAAACTAAAGTTGCCTTCCTCCCTCCCACCCAAGACGAACTTTCCCCTAGGTGTGTAGTCCTTACACACAGGGCACACTAGAGGGGCTCATTCGACTACAGCACAAAACACTAATTTGACCAATCCAAAGGGTAAGGGTAGGTGATACCTCTATTAGACTGCTAGAAAAATGCTATCTTTTGAATGACCACATCTTTGTCAGCTAGGGCACCGTATCGTGGATGGTGCAGGGGAAAAAAATCTAACAGTCATGGAAGATGCCCATGGCAATTTCTTTCGTAAAAACAAGTTTCAAATGCAGGCTGCAAACACAAGTCGGGAGAGTACATTTCAAATTCCACACCTGGCGGCCAGTGGCTGGCATTCCTCTGTTTGGTGAGTTGGGACACCAGTTCAACCAATGGCCGTCAGGGGTGGAATTTGAAATGTACACTCCTGACTTATTTCTGCAGCCTGCATTTTGGAACCTGCTTTTAAAGAAGAAGCCTAGCATGGGCCTCTGCCATGACTTTTTGGACATTCAAGTTTGTCTGCATCACCCACAACACAGAGGTGCCCAGCCTGAGGTCTGTATGGGTCAAAAGCTAACAATTTTTTAAAAAAAATAATAGTGGCCTAATAAACACATCATCTATGCTTACCTCTGGACTGGTCAATGAGTGCGTTGTGCTGTAGTCAAAATGAGCCCCCTATCGTGTCCTGAAACTCCCTTTCAGAGAACTTCTTAATTTTTTAATTTTCAGAAAAGGATAAGCTGTGACCTAATGAAGTCATTTACCCAGCTCACTTCTGGGCAGCCCAGCCTGTCCTGGCAAAACCTGGCCCAAGTTTCTCTGCTAGGCTAGTGGAACAGAAATTCTTTAACTCTTTCCACTTTCCAATGGATCTATTTTCTTATTTGTATGTTTATTCTTTATAACCTCTTCTTACTCCTAAATGCCCAACAGAGATGAGAAGGCTTTTCATTGATTTCCTAGAACCTAGCAGACGTCAATCCACTAGATAAACTGTTAAGCTAGTCTTACAAACCTCTTCAGGACATATAGGTACTGAGTCATCCCCTATGCAATATATAGAGAAGGGACATATAAATTTAAGTTTATGCTCTCAAGATTTTTTTTTGACATTTTACATTTTTTAATATTGTAATTTGGTTTTCAATTCCTCATTTGGAAAAAAAACATATAATTCTTAAAATAAATAAACAAACAGTGTTTGTTAACTGCCCCAAGTATACACTTAAATAATAACAGCAAATAGAAAGTTGCAACAGGACAAATTCCTCTGTTCAGAGTCTTAAGAAGATGAGAAACATATTCTTAACATTTTAATCCAATTAATTTTAACTCAAAGGTTATTTGACAGAGTTGCCTATGAACCTGGATGTCTCTATGAGTAGTATATAAGTGTGGAATTTACCATCTCATTTTGAATTTGACATCCTGAAAATTCCTGATAAAGAACCGAACTTCTGGCCCTTAGAACAGAGTGGGCATTTTTTCAAAAATCCAGAAGTCAAGACATACTCCTTCCTGGAACTTGAAGAGCCATGTCTGCTCCTATACCTCTGTCCCCCAAAATACTTTTTCTTAGGAATTTTTCAGTGCAAAAAGCCATCCTTTACTTTTTAATGGCCTTCCCCCCCCCGCCTCCCTTCAATTAAACATTTCTTGATGGTGGGGCAGACAGATGAGGAGACTCAAAATATGGAAAAATCCCCCTTATGGAATGGAGCTTCAGTGCTTTGCATAGAAGACCCATGTTCCTTTCCTCTTGGCTAGCAAACAAAGATATGCAAAGTTAGTTGATAATGTGTCTATATTAGTCAGGTAATAATATTTTGCTTTATTTCAGCAAAACCTGATGACCATAGTGTTCACAGGCAAATTCCAAGCCTTGTGTTTGGCTCAGGACATCAAGGATCTCAAGTAAGAGACAAACTTTGCACCTCACCTGTGTAGTAGAGGTACCTGGCCCACTCATTGTTGTTTGCCTGCTCAGGAAACACTGATTTGGAGACCAGCTTTTCTGCCTGGTCATAGAGGTCATAGTGAAGGTAATTCCTCAGCAGCAGATTCAGGAGGGTAGCCTGGCCGTCTGCATCGTGGCGCAGCGTTGCCGTCCTTAAGCGAGCATGAAGGAAACTGAAAGGAAAAGGAAGAGAGGTTGTGTCATCAGCAGCCTTGGAACAAAAAATACTAGAGGAATAATAAAGATTATGGCAACTCCTGAATGCTACCAGACATACCTCCTAACTACGTCCAGCTTGTTCAAGAACTCATAGATGCGAGCGTGGTAGTAGTAACACTTGGCTACCACTAGATCGAGGGCTCGACGGTTTTGAGGACTTGTCTTTTGCATCAGATCATCTGAGACTTTCTGGGCCTGCAGAGAGGAGAGAGATTTAATATGGAGAACCTGCATAGCTTCATTGGTGGGCTTCAGGTACCGACACTGTGTGATCATAAACATCATTTACTTACATTGGGCTCAAATGGCTCAGCTCTCATGACTTTCTCCCTAGTCTGCAAGAATCACAATTCACTCTCTATGCCTTCCGCACATGGGTTTGGTGGAAGAAAGATGGGCTTGTCATACATACCATGACACAAGAAGTCTCTGCCCTGTCTAAGCAGAGATCACTCAAACTCACTGTAACAGTTTCTGTGAGAGGTTCTGCATTCCCACAGCCCACAAATCCAAGTTTCTGTACCCAGTTTGGTCCTGGCACCCAGCACTCTTCAGTCACATTTATGCTTAAACTGTGTAACGACTTTGGGATAACTGCACCAGGGAAAAGAGATTGCAGAATAATTAACGTACCTGGTGCATTAAGACAACAAAACAGCCAGAAGCAGACAGGGAGCACTACTAGTTTTTGTAAGTCTAAGACCGCTCATAGTTCTTTAAGGTCTATTATCAGCTGCAATGTACATAATGGCACAAATATACCTCTTTAAATTCTAGAGTGATGTTCTGACCTCTAATACTCCAGCTAATACTTTAGCACAATTTTCTAAATACAGCTGTTGTACTTGTGTGTACACCTTTTAGCATTCAGATCAATCTGTAAAGAGCAGGAAGTAACGGAAAACAGTGCCTAATTTCAATGGCCTGTTTTCCCGCCCTTCTTCCCTCAAGGTCCATGTCCAAGCCATGGGAGTTTGCTGCTTTCAAATAGACAACAAAACTTATGGGGAAGGTGATACACTACCTCTTCATAACGTTTGCTGTTCATCAGATATATGACCAGGAGTAGCTGGAGATACGCTTCTACTTCTGGCAGGAGAGGAGTGGAAGCTGCCTTTCCTGTGCGGGGTCGAAATTGCAGATCAGCCTCTGTGTCCATGGGCTACAAAGAGGAAAAACAGACAAAATCAGGTTAGTGATATACTATGATTCCACTCTCTCCTCCCAATTCTCACAAAAAGCAAGTTCCAAGAGCTATATGTTGCTCATCTATTATAATTCAAGAGATAATAATCTTGAAATTTATTACTGAGTAGCAAGAAAAAAAATGGCAATACTCCTCCAAATGATTTTAATTGACTCCCAAAGAAATACTCTTAGAGAATAAAAGGAATATTTTCCGCAATATAGCGCAAGCCCCAGTAGAATACCCAGGCATCCCATCTATCCTTTTCAGACTTGCCTCCTCCAAGAAGTTGATGAGGAAGTCCCGCACAGCACTATTAGAAGTGAAAAAGCCATTGATGGCTTTCTGGAGCACATTAGGGTTGAGGCGACGGGACGTTGATGGCAAGGCTCTCAGGGCACGAAGGACATAGCGCGGTTCCTTCCCAGATACAGCTTTCTCCAGCTGCTTCACGTGTTCTTTGATATCTGCAATGGCCGAAAGAAAGAACTAAATAAATGGAGAAGTGCATCGAACTCCAGCATTTCCCAAGAACAGATGCTGAAAGCAGCAGTGCTGCAGATAAAGTTCTATGCAAGATGAGATTTGGAGACACTGTCAAAGCAGAGATGAGCAACCTGAAAGTTATAAAAAAGAAAATGCTCTTCAGCAGTGGCAGAGCATGGAGTAGGGGAGTTCAGCAACCAACCAGATTACCATGCTAAGGCTTTTTCAAACTGCACATTTGTGACCACCTGAATGATCAATCAGTTTAGTTATCCTTTCAATATCCACAGCTAGCTACTAGCTTTTACTCACAGATTACATAAACAGTAGATGCACTTTTTAGAAAAAACATTTTTCTAAGTACTATGAGACTACGCTCTGGCATGTCTCCTTGGAAAGAGAATGTCCCAAATGCAGTTCCGTTTCTGGCCTGTTCCTTTGATAAGACAAGGACAATATCTACAACAGGACACCATCTATTAAAGTGTATAAACTGTGGATGAACATAATATTCTTCTTCCCAGAAGTTCATGGTAGTGTGTCTATGTTTATGATTTACAATTCATAAACTATACGTATTCAACAAAACTTATTTCTGAGTGTGAATTTGAAAAACAGAAGTGAAGAATATACATCTACCATGTTTCCCCAAAAATAAGTCAGGGTCTGATATTAATTTTTGCTCAAAATCCAAACAAAACACTCATTTGGACTTATTTTCGGGGGATGTTTTATTTTTTTCAAGAACCACCTACATTTATTCAATTATCATCATTTATTTTATTTATTATTATTTATTTATTCCCGTTCTCCTTCCCCTTCTTTAAATGTACCTGGTGCCACTTCCTCCAGGGGTGCTTCCGCTGCTGCCAGGAGGCGCCACGGTGGTGGCTCGGGTTCCTCCAGTGGCGGTGCCTGGGCTGAGGCTCCCATTGGGGCTGGCGGGCGCTGGGATTGTTTTGCGGGAAACAAGGGCAGCAGTGAAGGAGGAGGCATTGGTGTGGAAGGGGGCAGGGTCCACAGCCGGCGAGCCCAGTCAAGGGCATTGGTGTGGAAGGGGGCAGGGTCCAGAGCCGGCGAGCCCAGTCAAGGAAAGGGTGGCAGCTGCTTCAACACGTGGTCGGGCTAGCAGCACCCAGCACCAAAGAGGGAGCCGAACAAGAGTAGGGTTAAAAGAGTTATGGTAAGAGAAAGAGGGGAGGGGAAATAAAGGCAGAGGGCTGGCTGACAGGGGCTGGAGGTCCAAAATTGCCTCCCCCCTTACAACCTTGTGCTTTGTTAGCCTCGCCTGGGTGCACGCTGGAAGGGGGGAAGCGCACACCCTGCAGAGGCATTCCTGTTGGGAACTTAAGAGCCAAGGAGCAATTTTCTGGTGGCGCGTCGCTCCTGCCTCCCTGGCTGCTCAGCCCCTCTGTGAGCAAGGGAAGTGGGAGAGCAGAGGAAGAGGTTTTAAGTCTCTCTTGAGGGCTCTGGAGGATCCCGGTGAGTCACTGGTGAAGGGCAGGGTTTTACTTAACTAGGGCTTATTTTCAGGGTAGGGCTTATATTACAATCATCTTGAAAAATCATACTAGGGCTTATTTTCAGGGAAACACTCTATTTTGTCCTAATTATGGAATCAGAGAATAATAGAGATGGAAGGGGCCTATAAGGCCATTGAGTCGAAATCCTCTGCTCAATGCAGGAATCCAAATCAAAGTATATCTGACGGGTGGTTATCTAATTTTCTTTTGAATGCCTCCAGCACTGGAGTGCTCACCAACTCCTGAGATAATTAGTTCCATTGTCATACTGCTCTAACAGTTAGGAAGTTTTATCTGATATTCAACCAAAATCTGGCTTCCTGTAACTTGAGGCCACTACATTACGTGTTCTGCACACTGGGATGATTGAGAACAGATCCTGCTCCTCTTCTGTATGACAACCTTTCTGTCTTATCTGGAACTTATTTCCGAAGTAAAAATTATTATTACTGAACTGGAAAATTTAGACAATCAGAAAGAAAAGATGCTTTTATTACTAAAACTTGTTTTCACTTGTTAATATCGTAAAGCTTTCTTTGAAAGTCCACAGCAACCTCCAGGTGCTGTGTCAACCTGACAAATTGCCTGTTATGCGATATTGGCTTTAGTCTTTAAGAAAATTTGTTTTTGACAGACATGTATGCAAACCCCCGATCCAATCTGTACCCAAATGAATGGCATACAGACTGGCCTTCGCGAATACATGGGACTGAGCTACTCTCCGCTCTTGAAGAAACATTTTGTTCTGTTCCCAGCTCTCTCTCTCTCTCTCTCTCTCTCTCTGTGTGTGTGTGTGTCTCTAGTTCATTAAAAATAACCTATGAATGGGAGGAAATGCACCATAATTGTGAGACTTACCATGCAAAGCTCATACAAATCATCCTTCCACGGTCACACACTCACTTTTGGTAGTATAATAATGTTCCAAATAATTTTGTTGAACAAAGCAAAATGAGACAACAATGAAAAATAAAATTATTCCAAAATGTAAAAGGTCTACCAAGTGATACCTGTTCTTCTCTTTGCCCTCGCACACACTCCATGCAACAACCTCCGCCTGATCCCTCCCTAGCACTTCAGTGACTGGAGTGTCCTGGAGTGATCTTGGCCTTCAGCTGTCATTCTCTTCTGTGGTGCCAGTGGCTCAGTCTACTATACTACTTCTCATTTCCCCTCTCCACAATTCAAATGGCTAAATATCTTTTTAACCCTACAGATGCCAAGGGGAACATGAAAGAACACTGCTCTACCTGGAGTGCATGTTCGGGAATCGTCCTCCCTTTCCTACCTAGTAAGACAAAGACAAATACCGCTGATATGATCCGTTTTGCACCAAGGCCCAGCCTCTGAGATGCCAAAAGCCTCTTGAAGTTTATACCGTCACCCACGTCAACCTCCGCCCCTCCTCCCAATTCTCCAATGCACTGCTGAGGGACTACAGTACAGTATCATGCCTTAGTCACCCCTACCCACCGCCCTTCAGCAAGGGAGGCCCCTTTCCGCCACCCCATCGCTCCCCCCTTCAAGGGGGACCGGCAGGGCCTCCCTTGAGATTAGGAGTCCCGAGGCTGGGCCTCGCCTTCTCCACCCACCGGGGTCAATGGGAGTCCCCGGGACCGTCGAAGGCCCGCCTTTCCTTGGCCCACAAAGGGACTAACCGGGGACAGGGGGCTTCCAGCCGAGCCCCCTTCCCTCACCACTAGGCTCCCCGGCCGCCACCTCCTCCTCTTCTTCCTCGCAGGCCGGCCGGCTTGCCCCCCTTCGGCGGCCCTCCTCCCTCACCTTCGAGCGTGACGGCGTCCAGCTCCCGCTGCGACTTCTCGGCCGACACGGGCTCGGCCGGGGCCGCCTCTTCGGGCATCTCAACGTCGGCGGACGGCGGGGGAGGCTGAGGCGGTTCCGCGGGCGGGGGCTTGGCCTTCTCCGACCCGGCGCGGCGCCGAGAGCCGCCTTCCTGCTTCATGGCTTCGCTCGCCTTCCTCGCACACACTCACCGGCTCTCGCACCGTGACAGAGCAACAATCGCGGGGCACGATGGGAAAATTAGCTCAGGCTTGACTAGCCGATCGCCGAGGGGCGGGCGGGGAAGAAACCAATGAGGAAACGCCTTTCCCCTTTCAAGGGAGGGAGACCATAGAGACGGGAGCGATAGAGAGTCAAACCTCTCCCATACGTTTCCGGCTTGGCTGGAGGTGCCTCAATTTCCCACTGTACGGATGGGCAACCCGCGGGAAGCGGTTGGACTGCAATTCCCAGGATCCTTCTCTCCGTCGGCTTTCTAGGTGGGGTTGTTGAGAGTTGCGTTGCATTGGAAGGAGCCCGCACCCGTTCAAAGGGGCTCACAAAGAAAATAAATTCGAGCAGAAAGCAAATGAATGCGGCGACAACAGTTTTCTTGCATGGATCCCTGGCGAAAGAAGGGTATGGGGTGGCGGAGAAAATGCTAGTCGCGTCTGCACGGCAGTATTTTAAAGTCTGTTCAGCAACATTTGCGGTTTTGTGAAAACTTGATTTATCTCTGGAGGCAAAAATGTTGAAACTGAGGCTGTCCTACTTTGGGCACATAATGAGAAGGCAAAAATTCTCTGGAAAAGACAATAATGCCGGGAAAAGTGGAAAGCAGCAAGACAAGAGGAAGACTAAATATGAGATGGACTGAATCCCTAAAGGAAGTCACAGACTTTGATTTGCAAGAGCTGTTGAGGACAGGACATTTGGGACATCGCTCATTCATCAGGTTGCCAGAAGTCGGAGGCAACTTGACAGCATATAACAAGTACTAATGTAGGTTCGATGTTCTTAAAATATGTGGATTTTTTTTAAAAAAGCTCTTTTTAAAAAAAAAATTAAAAAGTACTCAAATTTGTCCCAGTTGTGAGATGAGGTGTTAACAAACCTCTGTAGTCTTGTAGATTTTGTTCCATTAAGACCACCAAAGAAACTGTTTCATCTAATCAGAACACAATGGAGTCAAGTCCAGTCATGTTTGTATTTAAATTTTTGAATGTACTTTAAACTGTGTTAGACATTAAACATTGACTTAGTTATATTTTGTCCTGAGTTCTGTATAAAAGCCTTGCTGATGTGTGGATCGATTAATGTGAAAACAAACATGGTCCCCAATGTCCCTATACCCCTAATCTTGTTTCTCTTCTAGCATTTTTCCATCCTTTTTTTCTGAACCACTCCCCTTTACTACTCATGTATTGTACCCGATCTTCCTTAAATGTTGCCTCCCTGAAGCAAGCAAGCCAACCAACCCAGCAACATTCACAGGTAGCCCATGATCTAGCAGGGGAGCTCATCCTAGTACTCTCTCCTGAGTTCCCGTCCACTTTGATGGACTACAGGTGATTGCTTGTGCTTCATGTTCTTGTAATTCCAGCTGAAATATGAAGATGAAACTATAAAGACATAAATACACTCTATCTAATTTTTTGAGCCACAGCCCCATCTCCAGTCTACATTACGGTACTAGTAGTGAATAACATTACAGCATTCTTATGGATCACTATGTCTCAGCATATCTCTATATACTGTACAGCAGTGGTCCCCAACCTTGGGCCTCCAGCTATTCTTGGACTACAGCTCCCACAAGCCCTCACCACCACCTCTGCTGGCCAGGATTTCTGGGAGTTGAAGTCCAAGAACATCTGGAGGCCCAAGGTTGGGGACCACTGCTGTACAGTATCTGGGTCGCTGGGATCATATCTACTGTACAGTATGTACATGGCAAGGTGGTCAATGACTAGAGTCACCTCGAGGTGGCAGTAGAGATTTCAACATCAGCTCTCAGTTGATTAGGATATAAAGCAGGGGTGGGCAATTAATTTCTATAGGCGGAGCACATAAAAAATCTGAACTGTGTTCGGGGGCCGAACAAACTTTACTTAAAAATAAAATGAAACAGTGATGTTATGGTTGTTTTTATTTTAAGCGTGTTAATCTTAACAAATACTAAAGAGGTTTTTTTGCAGTATGTTAAAGATAAGCAACTAATCAATTTTAGACAAAAAGCTATAAATGGTTTTGATGTTCAAAACTGTCCGCGGGCCGGACAGGAGTGGCTCGCGGGCCATATATGGCCCTCGGGCCGCACTTTGCCCAGGTCTGTCCTAACTGATGCTGGAGTTCTTAGCCACATCCTGATTATTGTTATTTGAAAAGATGGCTTGTTTTGACTCCAAATGTTTTTGAAGTAGCTGACAATGGCAGCTACTGAGTTAGGAGATGAAAAATAGAAGGGAAAAATAGGATTTATCTTCCAAAGAATTAAAGTGAATGTTTCTGAACTGCTCATTAGAGAGCAAAAATTAATGACATAACAGAAATAATGTGAACTGTCTCCCTCCACATTGGACCACTTCTATAAATCATCTGCACATGTACTTCCTGTTATTCCTCAGTCAGCAAATATATATTCCTGTTTGAAAAAGACTGCAGTGCTGTTCTAAACAAGGTCACTCAAAAGGCTACTACCGTGTTTCCCCCGAAAGTAAGACAGGGTCTTATATTAATTTTTGCTTCAAAAACGCATTAGGGCTTATTTTTTCAGGGGGTGTTTTTTCCCATGTATTACAATCCACATGTATTCAAATACAGTCATGTCATCTTCTGGTTGGAGGGCGTGGTTTCACTTAACTGGGGCTTATTTTTGGGGTAGGGCTTATATTACGAGCATCCTGAAAAATCCTACTAGGGTTTATTTTCACGTTAGGTCTTATTTTCAGGGAAACATGGTAATTTCAGGGTTAGTAACATTGCAGCTTTGGCTTGCAATCCTAAGCAGGTAACTAGGGACAAAGCCTCAAAGTCTCAGTGGGAATTATATTGGAGCAAAAATGCTCAGCTTTAGACTGCTTCTGCATTTTATGTTTCAGTAAATTGCTGCTGGCCTATCACAGAGCCCTCTAAACTACATACAGAGAACTACAACAACACACACAATTTTTCATTGGAAGAAAAAGACTAAAAGTTTATTAGTTACAGCAACCGTCCCTGGCCAGCACTGTGGAATTGGACCCAGTGCAGTGAGACGCCCCACCTGCCCCGATGCCCACCACCATTCACTTCAACAACTGCTGAAGGTCTGCCCCCAGAAGTCGCCGTCTTTTGGTGACCACCCCACATATGCTACTCCATGATTCTTTGTCACCTGAAGGGCAAGGGCTAGGCCAGTGGGCCCCCATGCTGGCTCAGACCATGCCCCTATCATCCCATACAGAGAGGTTCATTCACTATCCCGGGCGAGCAGCCTTCTTTTTGACCCGTACATGATCTGGTTCCAATCCTAGTGCCCCAACTACCAAAAGAGTTGTGACAAAGTTAACTATGCAATCTTAGCAAACTGATAATACCCCATCTTCCACCCTTATAGCGCATGAGCTAACCTAAAACAACACTGCATTCCACCACCATAGAAGAAGGAGGGGGAGGAAAATATGGGGAATCAGTGGGCAATGGAAAGGGAGCAACCGCATCCCTGGTTTATATGCAGGCAACAGTTCAAATAAGTTATAAGCAGGGTTGGGAGAGTCTCTGAGAATATTTATTGAATTCAATCCCAGCAAATTCAGATAGCTGACTGAAGGCTCATTCAGTCTTCTGTCTTTCCAAAGTCAGTAAAATGAGTACTCAGTTTGCTCGGGGGCAAGATGTTGTTTGCATAATTATGTTGTAAACCACCCAGAAAGTGAGTCCTTTAGCACTGTGGTGCAGTATATAAGTTCAAACAACAATAACAGGTTATTTGTTCTGTAAATTATAACCATCATGTTATGCCTTGTTTTTCGAGTCAAGCTCCTATTTGGATAGGAGACTGAGTACATACAGAGCTACATACAGAGCATTTAAGTCAGATAAAGCAGCAGGTTCTCCAGTCAGAACAAGGCTAAGTCCGGTTTTCTGAATTGTCACTCTGCTCATTTCAATCATTGCTCCAGTTATATTCAGCTCCTCTTCAGTCAGGGACTGAACATCTATAGTAAAACTTCCTCCTTTTTTGCTGAATTTGTGATCCAGAATACTTTTTACCTTTCAAAGTGAGAAAAAAAGTAAAATCAGAATGTCACTGTCTACAATATCAGGCACAACTGGCAAAAACAAAACAAAACCATTCAGTGTCTACGGTAGAAACCAACTGACACCACAGTACTATGAAATACAGCAGTGGCTACTCCATTTATATGCTATGCAACTCAACTGTATAAATTTCTGAGGGGACAGAACCTCTGTACTTCAGTAGAATCGATTTCCCAGTAAGCACATGAAAGACTGCAGCCTCAAAACATGCAACAAAACTTCAGTTTGGTTAATAGCTGTAGGCTGAAATCCTGTTCCATAAGTTATGCCTCTGGAAGTGTGATGACATCATTGGCAGAGGACAATTTTTGGTATTTAAGATTTCCCTCTTTCCAACAGCTTGTCCAATTTGTGTCTAACCCATTTCAACACATGGAAGCAAGAGGAGCCATGGAAAAGAGGGAGGAAGTTTTTAATTACAGAAAACCTCTCCCTGCCAATAAAATCATCTGGCAGTGGAATCGTCCTTCTCCTTCAATCCCAGGCTCCCATATGATGAAACAGATTACTTGTGAGTCTGATAAACTTCAGGAAAGGAGGAAGATGTCTTCCATTATCCAAAAATCACTGGTGATGCCATCATCCTTCCCCAAGTTTAACTTCTGCCATAGGACTTCAGCTATTATTGGAAGACTTACAACAGGTTCATGCACACTCATCATAGGCATCCTTCAGTCTCGAGAGACTATGGTAACATGCTCTGGATCGAGGAGTGTCCTCTCCAGAGCATGAAGCCTGGGTAAAGTAATATGGAGGATAGGCTGTTACCCAAGCAGCAGATCTCCCTCTCCACAGAACTCATATGAATCACAGCCTTTCATGCTGTTGGGGTACAATTATGCTCTCTTTGAATCTCACACATTTTTGGGAAGTGTCTCTACTATTCCCTCGATCCCCTCCTTTAAAAAAAATTATTGCCCCTTAAAAAAAAGAGATGTTGTTTAACTGAAATGTCCCCTTACCAGTGTCACCTCCTTGGACACAATCTTTTTCTCCACAGATTCTGCCAGCAACCACAGCTGGAGTTCAGTCAATTCTGAGAAAGTAAACAAAACAGTTTGAGGACAGGGTTTATTTATTTATTTATTTAAAATATTTACAGTATATGCCACCTTTCTTCCAAAGGATCCAAGGCAGCCTACAGCGTTTAAAAGAAACAAAGTAAAAAACCAAATATTAAATCATTAGAATAGTTTAAAAGTGTTAAACAACTATCATATTAAAATTCCTAATAAGAACAATATGAAAAAAACAAGTAAAGCACAGAATAAAACACTCCCTTTTAAAAAATCCCTTGCTGTATTATAAATTTTGAGTTGTTGACCTTTTAGAGTTGCAGTTCAGCAGGAGATTGACAAATATGTGATGATGCCTAAGAGAAAATAATCATAACATGACAATTATCTCATACTCCTTGGTTATGAAGTCCTAGATCAGGTATGGGCCACAGCATTTTTTTCATATTTTATTTCCCTAGGATCTATAAAGATGGCTAAAAATGCATTCATTCATCCATCCATCCATTCTTTCATTCATTCAACCAATCAATGGGGGTAGGATGCAAAAAATGAAGACAAAGTGGCTAGAAGTCTACTTTTAATTGAGTGGTGGAAAAGGTGTTTTGGGGTTGTAAACAGTACAGGAGTGTCCTGTGAGCATTTCAACAAATGAATCACTGATCCTGAAAGTTTCTGGCATTTGGGAGTTCTTAAATGCAGAACGTCCGGGAAGGGCCAAGGCAGAAGACTTACAGTCATGTGAAAAAGAAAGTATACTTTTTTCAATTCTATGGTTTTACGTATCAGGACAAAATAAAAATCATATGGTCTTTAGCAGATCTGAAAATCAGATGAGCAACACATGACATATTACACCATGTCATGATCTATTTTACAAAAATAAAGCCAAAATGGAGAAGCTATGCTCGGGTGAAGATTGGCCTTGGCATTGAGCTGAGACTTTCATAACCAGGTCTCCAGTCCAGAGCCACCTCAACTTTAATCAGGAATGAAACAGCGTGGGTCTTCTCTGAATTTCCAAATAATCAGTTAAGCATTTCTAGGAGACAGTAGCAAATCAATACTATCTCAAACCTTAGATAACAATCCTGGTGGCTGCCTCTGCCTACAAGAAGAAGGTTTAAAATGTCCTGCAGCTTTAGTTCTCATCAAAACTGTCTTAAGGATGGGAATTGTTTCACCTCTCCCTACAACCATACCTGACCTCTAAGCTTTCATGAACTCACAGGTACAGTTGCAGGATGGGATGGAGCAAAGTTCATCCTGAAAACAATCAGAGTCCAGAAAAAAGGGATGGGCCTTACCATCTAGAGCCTGAAGAAAGTAAAGGACTGCTTCCACAAGGTCAACGATAATGGCTCCACTAGAATCAAGTAAATTCACCACCAGATCCTGCAGTTCTGGCTCAGCAGTCTTCAGCTTGAATTGCAGACGGTCTTCAAGAGCCTGCTCCAGCTGAGAGTTTAGGGAAAAATGAAATGTTGTTAAAGACTGCTTCCTAGGGCCAGGGATTTGATGGTGCATATATGAGAGCAGGGCTTGTGAGGTGACAAGGTTTGGCACAAGTATATCATTTTATTTGCAAATACAGTGAGAATTGTGATCAGTTCTTCATTTTAATTCATATGTGGCACAGTCTAGAAAACTTAATAGAAAGTATGCTTTATATTCTACATAGTGCCAGACATGGATGTCCAAAGTAGTGGTGGAAATCATGATGGTGCTTCTGCCTTTCCAAACTCCAAAACCCTTTCTGAAACTACAGGGACAAGATCTGACTTGCTGAAGAGAACCCAGAAGGTACAAAAAGCCAGAAAAGCCTAGTTTTTCCTTCCCTGCCAGAAGGATTCCTTTCCAGTTTGTAATAAGGTCTCCTGTTGTGTAATGAAGCACTGCAAGGGAAGTGGCAGCTCTTGCCCACTGTGGTTGGTGGGAGGGAGGGCACAGCTGAAGGATGCCAAGCCAGGAGAGAGAGGCAGAGCCCAAGCCAAAGGTGGGCATTCAATCTCTCACACACAAACACAGAGACATGTAGGTGGACAGGCATTCACATATGTAACCAGAAGGATGGGAAAACACCTCTTCTCTACTGGTGTGAAGGCAGGCAGATGTGGGCTGGCTGGGTATGGCCTGAGGCCCAACTTGCCCTCCTAGGTCTCTATGGTTAATTATGGAGCATTACAATGCCCAGGCTGAGGCCCAGCTCAAGGATGCCAAGCCAGAGGAAAGCAGCAAAGCCTGAGCCAGAGGTGTGTTTCTTACACACAGAAACACACACGCCTAGGGGGATGTGGGCAGGCATTCACACATGCTCCCAGAAGGCTGGGACTACAGGTACGACCCTCTTCTCTACTGGTGGGAAGGCAGGTAGATGTGGGCTGGCCAGGAATGATCTGAGACTGAGGTGGGTCAGGCCAAACTTCCCCACATGGACGAGTCTCTACGGTTGCTCACAGAACATTACAATGGCCAGGGTTGTATACTGGGCTTCATAACAAACATGTAAAGTTTCAGTTTGATGCCAGGAAACTGCAGGAGAGAAATCCTGCTCCTCTATTATTACAACATATTACAGTGAATTTGATAGACTGTAAGGGGAGAAGACCAGGAAGTCAACACGATGACTGACAACGGGTGTATGAAGGAACTACCATTTAGTCAGCATGCACTGCTGGAAGCAAGGGATGCAGGAACCCATGAGGTCCAGTGGAAAAGAAAGTCTTTACCTGGAACTCCAGTGTTTGCAAAAGGTGTTTCTCATTGTCCTTCATTATAGCCAAGAAAACAGTTAGAAATCGGCTACACAGATCCCTTGCTAATAAAGAGAACTGCATGCATTCTTGTTGAACCTCCATTTGTAGGTCATCTTTCTTGTCTTCAAAGAAAATGAGTAACATAAACAGAAAGAGAAAAATGACAAGGCTCAGGATGTGGAGATTACTGGCGTATAGCAACATCTTGGTATTAATCAGTTAAAAATAACTTCATTTGTGATTAATTTATTTTTGCAAAACTGGGAAAAATAGCTGACATAATGACTTTAGTTATTTTGAATAACAGTAAAGCCAAGAATGACACGAACAAAAAATTGAACATTTTTGCTGTGCATATCCTTAGTGAACACCTGTTATAGCAGAGGTGCTGGATGCTGTAAACATATCTTTTCCCTGATTCCTCCCTCAGCTCACATAATCCCTCACTGTAAAATATTGCCTTTATTGATGGCATGTCATTACTATTACGCTTGTAATGTTTACTGAGCTAAAATTGAGAATGATTTGACTAAAACAAAAACTATCAGCTTCATTTTAAGGTGTAGATTTAAGTCCAAGCTCCATCATAAAAGCTACTTACATCCTTCATCTGTTTGAAATGTTTGGCGTTTTCCTTTCATCATTTCAAAACCTTAAACAAGAACAAGATTAGAACAAACCAATGAAGAAAAATGGTTGATATGCTGTTTGTGTGACCCTCATTAAAACAGGGTAAAACCTAATTGTAAAATTGTTTGAAAGACCAGTAAGCAAAAATTATGGTGAACCCAACTTAAAAGCTTTACCTGGATACACTTTAGAAGTTAGAAATGGTAAACTGAAACCATAACTTATCATGGTTTAAAAGGCAATTTCTTATGTTTTCCTGCTATTACTCCTGGTTTCAAATTGACTACACAAGTTTTAAAAGCAGAAAATAGGGCTTCATTGGGCTGGATTGGGACAAACAGGATCTTGTAGAGGTGTAGTATGCCATCTGGTGCATCCACATGGTATACAAACCTCGAGTGACCCTATTTAGCCTCCCTCCCTGTACAGAGAAAGGAAAATGAAAAAAAACAAAAACAAAAATTCCTTTCCTTGTCCCTTTCTGTCTCTTCCTCCTTCTGGGAGGAAGTTTTCAATTTTTTACTGGGCATCAGCCCTATCTAGGCTTTAAGAACAACAACCATCTTTGCTTCCTCCCTCTCCCCTACAAAGAGAGTAAGTTTTTAATGTCCCAGTATTGTTAACTGGCTTAAGCTACTGAGCAATCTTAGGAAATTGAAAACAGATGGAAAGAAGCAAGCCATCTGCTTTGCTTTGATCCCAGTAATCACATGCGCTAGACTCAGACCAAAATAAAGTGATCTCTCTTCGTTTTCCCGAAAATAAGACCTAACCTGAAAAGAAGTCCTAGTATAATTTTTACAATGCTTGTAATACAAGTCCTACCCCCAAAATAAGCCCCAATTAAGTGAAGCCCTGCCCTCCACCACTGTGCAGCAACCAGAAGAAGATGACCCGACTGTATTTGAATAAATGTATATGGCTGTACATGAAAAAAATAAAACACCTCCTGAAAATAAGCCCTAATGTGGTTTTTTGGAGCAAGAATTAACATGACTCTGTCTTATTTTGGGGAAAATATGGTACCTGCATCTAAAACCTTACAGGAAGGTAGGAACACTCGAGGGACAGGCTGGTTGCAGTGGCATTGTGGTCTTGTGGGTACCAGGAGAAGAAGTGAACCAGCCCATTCCTGGAGCAGAGCAAACAGTAGGACAACTTACTGAATAGTTACATCCATAATGTGCAAAACCTAAGACATGCACACAAAGTGTGCAGCATGTCCTATAATGCCCTACTGCCATTTTCAGCTACTTCAAAAACATCCAGTGATCAAACAAGCCATCTTTTCAAATAACAACAATTGGAATCTGGCTGAGAACTCTTACATTACTTAGCTTAGGTGATGAAAAACAGAATGGAAGAAATAGGATTTACATTCCAAATAATTAAAGTGATTTTTTTCTGAACAGTTTACTAGGAAGTGAAAATTAAATGACATAATAGATGTACTGAGTAGTATCCCCCTCCCCCCGAATAGGGCTTCTGTAAATAATCTGCACATATACTTCTGTATTGTTATTCTTCATTCAGCAAAATATATTCCTGTTTGAAAGGGACTACAAGGCAGTTCTAAACAAGCTCATTCAAAAGGCTACTAATTTCAGGGGAACTAATGCCCTGGTAAAATGGGCAGAAGACTGCAGCTTTAGATTGCAATCCTACGCATGTTACTAGGGACAAAGTCTCCGTGAATTCAGTGGGAATTATATTGGAGAAAACATGCTCAGCTTTGGACTGTTTCTGCATTCTGCACTATAGTAAATACAGTAGTTGTCATACAATTTTTCAGAGCTAAGGTTTGCTTACAAATGTATGAAAAAACCCTCCCATAATAGGTGCAGTTTGCCACTTGGAAACATTGGCTAGAACCCTATTTTCAATCTCACCAGTATAGATATAATAGCATAAATTGCTGTGTGGAATTACCATTAATTCGCAGGTCGATGCTTCGATTCCTAGAGGCACACATAATTGTGCGACTGGCGCCTGAAAAGGTATGCAAATAGTGACCCACTAATTTGCAGGAGTTTAACACCATGATTTAAGACAGGAGGAAAATGAGATTGAAATAGAAGGATTAAAATCAATTTGGGAACATGATTTAAAGACAGAGATTAGAACAGAGGATCGGATAAAAATTTGGAAGATGAGAGTGTAAGGCCAGAGGTGAGAGCAAAGCCCCTCTCATGGGAGTGCCATTCCTCCCTCCCGCCTACGGCCAACAAGGAAGTACAGACCCTACCAATTCCCCCTCCCAGGAAGATAAGATCATCGGGATCAGATCTGGGGAAGATAGAGGAGAATTTGAAGGGACTAGTGGTCAAAGAAACCAGGACAGTTTTGGCGGGAACAGAATGGAAACCGAGGGTGGAGGTGGAGGCTCGTCTGGCAGATATAAAGAGGGGTGAGGAGGCATTACCGCCAGACTGGGAATGGGTTTGGTTAGAGGACCCATGGACGGGAAAGGTACAAAAGCTCCGAATACCAAAAGAAGAGGCCGATGCCCAGAGGAGGAGGGAACTCACCCCTAAACTTCCGTATTGGGGAAGAGAGAGAGAGAGAGAGACAAAAGAGTGGCGAAGGAAGTTGAAGGAGAAAAAGGAGAAAGTGGAGAGAGAGAGAGAGAGAAGAAAAAGGATCGAATGGATTGTGAGGGAGATCCAGATGAAAGGACACCCAGGGGACCCTGGCAGACACCCACCACCTCCAGAGAACTGGCCTGGCTGGACGACAGAGACGAGGACGCCGTCCCCTTGCTGGAAGGGGAGACTGGACAGATATTGAACACTGGGGCCACTTTAGATTGGCCAGGACTGTGGGATGTTCAAGGGGGAAACCCCTTTAAGGTTGAAGAATAGAAACCCCTGGCCAACACGTTGTTGGAAGGGGGTAAGTTTGGAACAGGTTTGCGGATACTGGTTTCTTGTTAAGCAATGCAGTAAACGTTACACCGATTTCCAAACCTCGCAAGTCTGATGATTTATTTGAAGCCAAACAAGAGTCAGAGAATGCACCCTTACAGAGAGTTCTAATGTTAATGTTGGTAAGAATAAAGGAGAATTTCTTTAAAATTAGTTTAAGGTGGTACATGTCTCCAGTGTAATTGAACATAATAAATTCAGACTATTCTAAGGCCTTGTGGAAATGTGATGAAGAAACTGGAATGTATTATCATATGTGGTGCGAGTGTAAATTGATTCAGAAATTTTGGAAATTGATTTTAAAGGAAATATGTGATATATTTAGAAAAGATATCGAATTTAACTCAAAAGTTGCTTTGCTGTCAATTTTTGATAAGACAGAACTTGATTATTACTCAAAGGAACTGATTTCTAATTTTATGACAAGTGCTAGATTATTAATAGCTAGATACTGGAAAGAAAAACATGATATCAAATTAGAAGATTACTATAACAAAGTATGAGACATTGTGTTAAATGACAATGACTAATGAACTAAAGATGAAAAGAGGGGAAATAACTTTGAATATTTTTAATGCTATTTGAGGTAGGCTTACTGAATTTGTGAAAGGGGAAAGCTTCTAAGCCACTGGTTCTTAACCTTTGTTGCTCAGATGTTTTTGGACTGCAACTCCCAGAAGCCTTCACCATCAGCTCTGCTGGCTGAGGTTTCTGGGAGTTGCAGTTCAAAAACACCTGAGTAACAAAGGTTAAGAACCACAAGCAACAATCAATACAATTTTGGAAAAGAGGTTCGTAATAAAAGAATTACTCCAAAGGGTCCCATAGGTATGGGGGTGCACTGGGTTTTAGATTGTTAGTATTTTGTATTGTTTTGTATTGATGTATTTGTTTGGGGAAATAATAATAAAAAATAAAAATAAAAAAGCCATTACACTTACACTGGTGTAAATTTGTAACAGGATTCTGATCACTATTAGGACCAGCCTTAAATCCAGAGGCCAAAATCGCTTCCGTTTCTTAAAAGTATCTTTTATTCACTTTGATTGATGTCGGGCAACCATATAATGAACAGCACAAAAGACCCAGAATCGCCCAACAGCATGGCCACCTGCCTGGGAAATTCTGAAAACAATGTTTTCCAGCTCTCTGCATATTATCTTTTATTTTAAAAATGCACAAACCCTGCCATAATTCAGATCTTTAAATTTTTACCTGCAAGAACCAGTAGTAGATGGGAGAGTGAAATAATAGCAACTGAATAGGAAGCGGTTTCCGCAACCCACCAGAACCAATTGAGTTCCTTGGTTCAAGGAGAAGAATACCATTTTTCTTGGCTCGAGCAACACTTAAGGTCAACAAGTCATTGGCACTTGATATTCATTTTTCCAATCTTATCTCGTAGAATCTACCAGGCCACTTACAGGCTCCACACAGTGCTTGGCTCCATTGTTGTCACATCAATTGCTGAAACAGACTGGCTGGTTCTTCCCTGCCTCCCCACACAGCCAATCAGTGTGGTGCAGAGATGGGGAGTCCCCTCACTCAACCGATGAGTGGTTGGCTGCGCAGGGAGTCGGGGAAGGGCCAGTCATTATCTCGTAGAATCTACCAGGCCACTTACAGGCTCCACACAGTGCTTGGCTCCATTGTTGTCACATCAATTGCTGAAACAGACTGGCTGGTTCTTCCCTGCCTCCCCACACAGCCAATCGGTGTGGTGCAGAGATGGGGAGTCCCCTCACTCAACCGATGAGTGGTTGGCTGCGCAGGGAGGCGGGGAAGGGCCAGTCAGGCAATGACTGACGCAACAATGACACTGACGGAGCCAAGGATCACACAGAGCCCACTAAATGGTAAATGGCTCAGGCCAGTTCTGGGGGACACGACTGGGCCACTGTATTGCCACGGTTTATATTCTTATCTCCAGGGAAATATGAAGTGCCCATGTCTAGTCAGCAAATGATATGCGTGTTTTGCTAACACTAATGACACTAAGAAGCCACCTCATTATGGGCCTGATATCCTCAAGTACATATAAAATGAAACTTCTAAAGCGTACTTACCAAACATTTTTGTTTTATCATCTGAGTAAAGTGCTATATCTGTGAAAAAGGAAAAAAAGTGGTTTTGTATTTATCTGTTTATCTATCCATCTATCCATCCATCTATCTATCTATCCATCTATTTATTTATTTCAAGGGAAAAGGGAAATAACTTGGGATAACAGGGAATATATTGTACTATAAATTATCACATATTATCTGTACTTAAACATATCATTACATAAAAGACTTTTGTGTCTGTTAGTTCCGTAATAATTCCTAAAGTTATTTGACTATTTTGTATTAAAATTATCATATTTGGCTTTCAGGTTATAGAACGGATCCAGCTATACATAGGTTCCCATTTTTCAGATGCTTCTTTGACTGAATTGTCTTTCAAAGCTTCTATTAATATGTCCATCTCCACCACTTCCATAATCTTTTCCACTAGTTCTTCACGATTTGGTATTTCGGTTTGCTTCCATTTCCATGCATATAGTATTCTGGCTGCAGTTATTATATGTATCACCAAATGGCTCTCTCTCCTATCTAAACTCTCTGGTAACATATTTAATAAGAATAATTCTGGTTTAAATAGTATATTACGTAGCAGAATTTTCTGTAAACATTCATGTATTAATATCCAATAATTTTTTGCTTCACTACATGTCCACCACATATGATATAAGGTTCCCTCTTGTGATTTCCAACATATATTTGACGTACCTTTATACATTTTTGACAACTTATCTGGTGTCTTGTACCATCTGTAGAACATTTTGAATATATTTTCTTTAAAATTTACAGATTTTGTAATTTTTATATTAATTTCCCAGACATCAATATCAATATTATGTATGCCCTATGCTTTGGACCCATTTGGTCATACAATTTTTACCACTT